TGTGCTTTCAGTCTGAAGAACTTCCTTTAGTATTTCTGGCAATATGGGCATGCTAACAACAGATTCTCCCATTTCTTGTTTCTTGCCATTGTTTTTATTTTAGCTTCATTTTGAATAATTTTGTTGGATGTAAAATTCTTGGTTCACAGTTTTTTGTTGTTTTGTTTCACCACTTGGAACTTCCTACTGCTTTCTGGACTCCATTGATGCTGATGAAAAGTCATCTCCTAATATCACAGGCGATTCCTTGTATATGAGGTTTTGTTTATATATCATAAGGAGTCATTTGTTTCCACATATGTTCAAGATTTTCTCACTGTCTTTGTCCTTCATGACTTTTGCTATTATGTGTCTGATTGTGAATCTCTTTACATTTATCTTACTTGTAGGTCATATAGTTCTTGGGTATGCAGATAAAAGTCTTTTAGCAAATTGGGAAGATTTCAGTCTGGCTGTGCAGTGGTTAAAATGCTTGGTTACTGACTGAAAGGCCCACAGCTTTAACCCACCAGCCATTCCATGGTAGAAAGATGTGGCAGTTTACCACCCTAAAATTTAGTCTTGGAAAACCCATGTGACAGTTCTACCCTGTCCCATAGGGCTGCTATGAGTTGGAGTCTTCTCAACTACAGAGGTTGTATATTTTTGGTTTCAGCCATTATTTCTTCAAATAATTTGCCTGCTCCTTTCTTTCGTGACTCTCCTTTTGGTACTCCTGTACACATACATTGTTGTGATAATGGTGTCCCACATTTCTCAAAGGCTCTGTTTAATATTCTTTATTCTATTCTTTCCTTTTCTTAGATAGTGTTCTGGTTACTTAGGGCTGCTCTGGCAAGAATATACCACAAATGGGATGGCTTGAACAATCAGGAGTTTATTCTCTTACAGTTTGGAAGCTTTAAGTCTGAGTTCAAAGTGCAAGGCTTTAGGGGCTGGGTGAAAGCCCCTCAGCCTTGGGCTTCAGCTCTGCCTCCTGCTCCCAGCCCACTGTAGCTAGAGGCTCTTCTTCACTCAGACAGCTGCTGGATGCTGAAGCTGATAAGCCCAAGGTTGACAAGTAACAAGGCACAGTCCTCATGTTACCAAACCATATGGCAGGCCATTAATTCAAGTCCATTGAAAGTCCCAAGGTCAGCAGAGCATAGCAGGCTGCTGAACAACATTGTTACATTCAGGAACCAAGCATGCCATAAGCTAGAGACCAGTCCCAAAGCTGTTTCTTATATACAGGAAACAGACCACAGACCCAAAGCTGCTACTCAGCTGCTCCAATAGATTCCATCATGGAGTTACTTACTAATCTCACCATGGGGAATAACTACATTCAGCTGCTGGGCCACTCAACCAGGTCCAGCCAAGCTAACGCACAAACTTAACCACTGCAGACAGCATGATCTCTATTAATCTGTCTTCCTGTTCACTGATTCTCTCTTCTGCCAGTTCAAATCTATTTTTGAATCTTCTAATATGTCCAATTTTATTTTATATTTTTAATGCCAGATTTTTTATTTGTTTTTCTCTCTGTATTGTTATAATCTATTTTCTGGAATGTTGTCTTTTTTTTTTAATTTTTATTGTGGTGTGGGTAAAAGTTTTCAGAGCAAATTCATTTTCCATATAACAGCTCACACACAATTTGTCTCATGCATTGACTGCAATCTCCTGCAATGCAACAGCTCCCCTCTCTTCCTCCCCATAGTTACCTCTTCCTACTGTGTCCTTCCCTTCCATGCACTCCTGCCCCCTGAGCTGTCTCCCTGTGCACACAGCCCTTCTGTTCTCCTATGATTGATCTCTCCAAGGAGTGTATCTACTGATGTAAGTGTTCAGCTCATATGCCTGTCTTTTGTTTGGCTGGAAGCCACAGGAGTAGGTTCAATTCCACACCTGAAGAGCAGCTAGGGGCAGCTTAGGGGTTCTACCAGGCTCTATCAGACCAACAAACCTGGTCCTCTCCCTCTTTTTTTTTTTTTTTAAATGATTTTGAGTTTTGTTCCACATTGTTCTTCCACACTATCCAGGATCTCCTACAGAGATACCCCTCTGAGTGGTTGACAGTGGTAGCCAGGCACCATCTAGTTCTCCTGTCTCCTAGTAGTGTGGGCTGAGGATCACATGGTGTACCAGTTGCTTGGAATACTTGTTTCCATGAATCTTTGTTTTTCTTCATTCTTCTTTGCTCTCAACTGGAACATTGTCTTTATACCTCCCTTTATTTTGGTTTCTTTTAATTCTTTAATATATTTAAAATCACTACCTTTTATGTCTATTTCTCTAAATCTGACATTTTGACATTTTCTTTCTCTCACAGGCAGGTTCTGCTATGCCCCACCCCCACCTCTGTGTATGGATTGTTTATTTCTGTTTGCTTGCATGTCTCAATTTTGTTGTTGTTGTTGTTGTTATTAAAAACTTAGATATTTTAGGGAATATGTTTTAACATTTACCTCACCATTCTTTGTGGATTGGGTCTACTCTTGTTTGCTTGTTTATTTGTTTTGTGACTTGCCTCACCTATTTTTAAAGTCTGTTTCTCTGTAGTGTGAAGCCTTTAGTGTACCTCTTGGATGGCACAGCTTAGGAGTTTGACACAGTCACCCTGTGATTACAGGTGTTTTAGCAGTTTGGTTCTTTGACTGTCTCTTTCCAGATGTCTCTGTTAAGCTGTTTCTTTTGGTACTAGGTACTGTCCATTAGTCTCCACTACTTACCAGATCATTGCTCTATTGGTTTTTGACAGTTCCCTGAGGCATAAACTGCTTAGGAGTCTTCTCAAATTAAATCCTGGAAGGGGTAGTTTTTAAGTCAGTCTTTTAGGTTATTTATGACCCTATGAGGGCTCTTCTTAGCTGATTATTTCCTAGGTCTTGCTGGTGAACTACTTGACCTATGGTTTAGCTTGTTCTTTTTAATAAAAGGAGTTATTGTTATGAGAGTTAGTTTAGGTTTAAATTCTCCACAATCTGTTTCAAACAAAATCAGTTTCTTCTCATTTGGAGAAAGCTTTGGGGCTCTCTTTTCTAATAGACTATTTTTCCTCCTGGAAAAAGACTCAGAGCCACTACAATGGGTGATAGGGCAGTAACCTCTGGTCTTCTTGGCTTGTATTTCCCTATGTGGAACCTCTGTCTATAAGTGAGATGGGGCAAGAATTGTTAGTGTTTCAGTATTCCTGACCTGCTATGCCTGGGGTAGACTCTCTTCCTATGTGTAGAGGCTGACCTCTCAGCTGTACTCACTAGGAATTTAGCATTTTCAACTTCAGTTGGAGGGAAGAAAAATGCTGATAGCCTGCCCCTACTGGTGAGATACTTTAAGCATTTATTTGGGACCCTGTCCTCTTGGCCACATCTTCTTTGAGTAGAGATTCCATCAACATGCATTGAAGGGGGAAGTGGGAAAGTAGGTCATGGCTCAAATGTCACAGACTCTTGATGTTCTTACAGACTATGTAATTCCTCACTTATGTATATTCTTAGAAGAATTTTCAGAGACTTTAAATGGTTGGTTTTGATCTTTTTTTTTTTTTTCATTTTTATAGTTTTCACCAGTCCTGCTTGTTTTGTTGGGGAGTATATTTATAGACTAAACCTGCTGGCAGTGTAGAAGTGGTATTTCAATTTATTTTCATTTACCTTCCTTGGGTTTTGTTATATTTTGGAATATGTGGACTAATGTCTTTCATCAGTTCTAGATAATTATCAGTCATTATGTCTCTAATATCTCCTTTGTCATTCTCTAGCTCATTTTTTTTTCTAGGATTCTCACTAAATATACGAATAATGGGCTAAGTCCTGGAGAAAAAGTAATAGATGAAGAATTACTTGGAATACCATTAATAAAATTACTTTCTTGAGAGGTGGAGAAAAATAGGGAAAGCCAAAAAGTTTAACTACTTTAGGGAAAACAACAGATTTAGAGAAAATGAAGATCAAAGTTGGAGAATGCAAACCTAAGAATTGCTCAGACTGTACGATAGAAGATCTTTGGACAAAGAACTGACTGCACAGTTGTGAGGAACACAGGGAAAACTTAGATAGGATTCCTGTTTTGAAGACCAGGGGTATGAGCCTAGGTTTCTCAGATTGATGAGGAGAGGAGGGCCTGAGTCTGGTGAGATGAATGTGCAGAATTGAGTGGTACAGAGAATAGAGAATCACTCAAAGAAGTTTTCTGCCTGGCCTCACAGTACTATTTCAGTCTTCAAGAAAATGATATTATGTTCACTGAGGATCAGAATCCAGGTCCTGCTCATCCATAGAGGTGTGGTCATCCTTACACCTATATTGCTGGACCTAATTGAGTGTTGCTCCTTTCTAATCCTAACAAAGTTTGTGACATCTTCAAGAATCTCAGGAAAGACCACTAAGCAACAACAACAAAAAAGGAGTAGCTTGATGATAAATTTCTGATCAATTTCTTTTCAAACCAGACTCAATCATGCACCAAAGGGAGTATGTAAGCTCTTTAAGAGTACAAAAAGAAAAATGAGACAACAGGTGTTTCAGACATCTATTGTCTTCTCCACAGTTATGTGCCAACCAAACACCATCTGGCTGAGCCTAAAGAATAGTAAGGCAGAAGGATACAACAAAACTCATTGCCATTATATTGACTCTGACCAATAGCAACTCTATAGCACAACATAGAGCTGCCACATATTGTTTCCAAGCCTATAAATCTTTTTTCCATGGAGAGGCTAGCTGGTGGGTTTGAACCACCAACATTTTGGCTAGTGTGCCACCAGGGCTCCTGAGGCAGAATACAAGAGTATGATCACAGGAACGAAATTTTAACCTCAGGTTAAGCTTATGGCATTTTCTGACTTGACCTCTGTGAATGGTTGCTCAAGAGTGGAGAAAAAAGCAGCTCTGCAGCTGGAACCCCAGTTTGCCCCACCCAGCTGCTTTGCGTGTTCCTTCCTGTCTGAGCTGCCATCTAGAGCCCTTATCAGTGGTGGTTCTTGGCTCTGGGGAAGATCTGCCTCAGAGTGAACCATGGAAACCCCTGCTCACCTTCTCTACCTCCTACTGCTTTGGTTCCCAGGTGAGGAGAACAAGGGATATTCTGTCTGTCAGTGAAAACTTCCTCAGTGTTGTTGGATTCTGGAATCTGGAACTTTTGCTCAGGAAGCAAAATGAATAAAGCTCAATACAGGCCAAGGATGTTGGGTCATCTGGGAATGTAATGTGGTAGGATCTAGATTACATGGATGATTCCTGTGTTTTATATCCAATCTTAGGTACCACCGGACAAATCATTATGATGCAGTCTCCAGCCTCGCTATCTCTGTCTCCAGGAGAAAGTGCCACCCTAACTTGCAAGGCCAGTCAGAGTGTTAGCAACAACTTAGCCTGGTACCAGCAGAAACCTGGTCAGAGTCCCCGGCTCCTCATGTATAGTGCATCCACCAGGGCCACTGGCATCCCAACCCGGTTCAGTGGCAGTGGGTCTGGTACAGACTTCACTCTCACCATTAATAGACTGGAACCTGATGATTTTGCAGTTTATTATTGTCAGCAGTATAATAGTGGTAATGCACCGTGATTCAACATGAAACAAAAACCTCCACAAACTAGCAATATTTTTACTTATACCAGCTGCTTCCTTTATAGACAGCTGTTCTGGTGACTACTCAAGTTTAGCATTTCTGCCTCTATTTAGAAATTTTGAGGTTCTGAAAAGTAACTTCCTAAAAGTTGGGACTCTTGTTTTTCCTTATAGTCAGCTTAACAGCCAGGTCTAGAAAAAATTCCACTAGCTTTGGCATCAATTACACTCACAAGAATGAACTTCTCTGTAAGTATGCCTGTTCTAGCTAGTGCTCTAGCTTGTAAAGCTAGCATGATTGGAAAGGTAAAATTTAAACATCATAACTTATAGGTCAAAGGCTGTGTGTAGAGAACATTCAAAATAATCTATGGAGAAATGATTAGAATTAATGAGAGAAATAGGAAATCATTGGATTTGAGGTTAGTATACAAAAATCAGTTTGATTTCCACCTACCTGCAATAAATGCTGAATAATTTACTTATAAAACATAACATTTGTAATATCATCAAAAACCTCAAACATTTAGAAAACTGTATCAAAATGTGTGTAACCTCTTTATTATACTTCTTTTTTGTTCCAAAATTATTAAAAGAAACCAAACAAAACCTAAACAAATGGAAGGCTATATTATGTTCATGGATTGAAAGTCTCAGTATTGTAAAGATGTTAATTCTTTACAAGTTGATATATTGATTTAATACAACGAAAATTAAAATATCAACAGATTTTTAAAGTAGAAATTTAAAAGCCTATTCTAAATTTTACACAGTTAAGCTAAGGACCTAGAATAAACAGAGTAAAGTTGAAGAACTAAATTTAACATTAGACTAGTAGATGTCAACAGGAGCTCTGGAAGCATAGTGCCTAAGGCACTTGACTGCTAACCAGAAGGCTGGTGGTTCAAACCCACCAGCCACTCCTTGGAAGGAAGGTTGGGCAATCTACTTCCCTAGTGATACCATTTTGGAAACCCAAGGAGGAGTGGCTATGAGTCAGGTCCAACTCGACGGCACATAACAACAACAACAGTAAATGTCAAGACTGTAGTATTGGTATAACTGCCCAATATGAAAGGAGAGTATTCAGAGATAGATTGTATAAGACAGAGATAAAGTCATACTTTTTAATGACAAAAGTGACATTGCAGAGAAGTGTGGAAAGGACCTCTTTTCAAGAAATGGTACTACATAATTTATATACACAAACAGCCAACAGGGATATAAATCATTAGAGAACTACCAGTTGACATAAATCATTAGAGAACTACAAATTAAAATCACAACAAAAAACCACAAAACATCCAGTAGAATGATTAAAAACAAAAAGAATACCAATATCAAATATAGTAAAGGGAATGGAGCAACTAGATTGCTCATGGGCACATAAATACTTGGGCACATAAATGTTTCTTGGTTGCATAAAATGCTACAAACAACTTGGAGAATTGACACTGAACATATACATCCCCTGTGATCCACCCATTTCACTCAGAAGTGCATACAAATGTGCACTGAAAAAAACATACAACATTCATTGTATTGTTTGTAATAGTCCCAAACTGGGACAACACTAAATGCCAATCAATAGTTTCAAAAAATAATAAAATTAGATATTAACATACAATGAAATGTTATATACTAATGAACATACATAAACTGCTACTAGTTTCAAGAACATGAGTGAATCCCACAAACATGATAATGAACAAATACACTTAAAATCAAAAGAGCTTGTTGTCCATGCTTCTACTTCTAAAAAGTCAAAAATTGGTAAATCTAATTAACAATTTAAAAGATAAGAAGTTACATTGGGGAAGATCAGGATTAATGAGGAGTGGTGAGGTGGCAGATAAGTACTTCTCTTAAAACTAACTCACTACCATTGAGTCAGATCCGACTCGACTCATAGTGACCCCTCCTTGGGCTTCCAAGGAAGTATCACTATGGAAGTAGATTGCCCAACCTT